TAACTGACGATTCTGTGTCCTTTAACTAAAATTAGACTTCTCCTTCCTCTATTCGTTCGTTTGCAGTTGGCTAACGTGTAAGAAGCCACGACGCTTCCCTGCTGTGATGTCCTCGTCCGAACGCAAATTAGTAGTGGCGCCACGAGAGAAATAATTAAAATTAGGAAGTGCAGAGCTTTGTGTCTTTAAGCTATAGAGATTCAGAAAGAATTCAAGCTTTCTATAAAAAAATTATATTGAATTTAGTTTTAATGTCTGATAGATATTCATGTTGTTTTTAAATCCGTGTCGTTGAACTGTGAGAACGATCTGTCCCACGGTGCACATGTTTCCGGCCCTGTGCTGCTGTGGCGACTGGCGGACGCTAGGTGTTTCGAGAGCTTTTCGTCATATTCTCTAGTTTTTTTTGTGACAATATGCTATCACGATTGAGATGAGCAATTGAGACGCCGGACAGTGGGCGCTAAGTGTCATGCTCCTTGTTCACGCCAGCGACAGAGACATGTATATCCGTTGCCAGGAATTGAAGAAATGGCAGCTAAGGAAGACTTGAAGCATGATCTGTCTTTGCTCCACAGCGAACTTGCTTGAATTGAGCAAAAATACGTTTAAAGTAAGGCTTTGATAATTTTATAATTACACATATGACTGTTATGTGCACAATTGATAAAAGTTTACTAGGTAAGTGTTCATTTGGTATTATAAACAGAACATAAAATGAATTGAGGAGACTCCTAGAAGAAAAGAAATCACAATAGAGCGTCGCTTAGTTACACAAAGTAGCGACTATTATCGGCTAAGGTTATCAATCCAGAAAAGATCTACATTTACGGGATGTTGAATAAGGTAAGTATTTAATATTATATTTAATTACTTGGACCAGTACTATTTCATTAAGTTCCTGTAAGGACCGTGTACCCATTATTATTAATGCTGCTGGACCTATACTGTGTGCCGAACTACCTCCCCCTTTCCACCCCTGACCCAAATACAATCCAAGTAGTAAAAAAATGGTGTATCGTCAGTTGTGTTGCCAGCACTAGCTGTCAAATCATCCCATCCTTAGGAAAATCCTTCTCTAGTCGTATGGTTGCAAAGAGGACGAGTGATCTTCGTAATTAAAAATGAAATTTACCAACGAAGAGAAAATTGATGCACTTCTGATCTTTGGGGAGTGTGAAAGGAAAGCCAGACGCAGAGTAAAAGCTTTTTCTCAAAGACATCCATGATGGCTGTTAAATGCTGGTTTGTTCCTATAGTCATTACCAATCGAAATGGATTTTTAACAATTTTGAAAATGATATTTATTATTATCTTACGCTACCAAATGTTTATATGGATGAGCGATGTTTTGGAATTTCAGTAGAAAACAAGTTAAATTCAGATAAAACAATGGAAAAAAATCTCTCATTCTGGTCGTTATCATTGGGTTTCTGACTATGACCTTTGTATCAAGACCATGGATTGCTGTAGTTATGCCTCTTATCCCTCACTGTCTCCCCTTTCCACCTAACATTCGTGACGCCGCGAAGGCCACATTCCCCGAAGGCGAGAGTAGCAGGGGCTGCTACAGGAAATATTGTCCTTTTAATTTAAAATCACGTGTCAGAAAATCTTATTTTATACTCAAATTACTATCTAAATACTAACATACGATACATTATTGTTTTCGTCTTTTCATGATCTATTTATTACTAGTGAGAAAAATATATGGTTCCATTTACAAAATCAAAGATGATTAAATTTCTCGAAAACTAAAAATATAATAGACAATTTCTCTATAGCATATCACTTACCCCATGATTCCACATTGTTCATCGGAAACTGCTTTTCAATATCGTTAACTGTTTAGAAGTTATGGGGGTGGCCCATAGTTGATGGGACACCTGTGTTTCATTCTGTGCTGGGCGCAGGTGACGGGGCTGTGCGTGACGTACGGGCTACTGTTCGGCGCGGGCGCGTCGCTGGCCTACACGCCGTCGCTGGTCATCCTGGGCCACTACTTCTCGCGCTACTTGGGACTAGTGAACGGCTTCGTGACGGCCGGCAGCTCCGTTTTCACCGTGGTGATGCCGTACGCGCTGGAGGGCCTGCTGGTGTCAGTGCAGCTGGAGGGGTGCCTGCAGTGTCTGGGCGGACTTATGTCACTGCTCATGTTCAGCGCGCTGCTCTTCAAACCTGCCAAGCACGACCCTGCGTCGGCGCCAGCGGTCAACGGCCATTCCGCGGGCGAGGGCCGCCCCAGCGCGCAGCCGCGCACGCTGCGCCACATGCTGGGACGCGTCTTCAACGTCAGCATCTGGCACAACCGGAAGTATGTCATCTGGGCGCTGGCCGTGCCGGTGGCGCTCTTCGGATATTTCGTGCCCTATGTACATATGGTAGGTACTATTTCGCCAGAAGTTGATTCACAGCGACTTTCAATAACCGTTCGAAAACCTTGAGTCTTGTACTTTTGAGACATTAAATAGTGGAATGAATAAAAATCATCTGCATGAAATTATATCGAGTGTTAATTGAAAGCAATTACGAGTCTTAACACACGTACTAAAGCAGACTCATTCCTTCCAATTAACTTCGCCTCGAGTAATGCCAGCGTAACTTTGCAGTGAACACGTGGTTTGAAATTTCATTCAACGAACTCACACAATTGTCCGATTCTTCGGCAACTTCTCGTGCAGTTATATTCGACAGGTACTTGAAATATCTTTCACTGCGACTGAGTGTGACCTGCCAAATACCAGTGCATGACTAGTCCTCTGACAATCAGGGCCAACGTTGCATGTATAACATCGTTATATGCAATTTCGCAATTATGTGTGTTCATTGGCATAACGTGATTATCTTCGATTGTTTGCATGTCTCAGCAGTTTGTGAGACTATTCTGAAACTCTTGTATATTTCGTGTTTATTCTGATGTTCTCTTATGTTGTGTTTTTTACTCGAAATATCAATGTTGGCATTTCAAATAAGCTTGTATTACACATTTTTACTTTCTCGCATACTTACGCAATATTGAGAAAGTATTGTAATGCTGCGAGGGAAACATTTTGCGGCAGAAAAACTCTTATTGCCGGTTTCTGGTAACGATGCTTTGTAAGTGGATAAATCTTGTCCATGTATGAAGTAAATTACTTCCTTTAACGCATGGTCTAGTCAGAATCCATGTTTGTGAATCTTGATTCCCAAAAATTGATTGACGGCAAAACGTCTGGCGTCAACGCTAGGATCTAAACCTTTGAAACGATTTTCTCCAAAATTGATATTCCCTGTGCGATATGTGCGAATTCAAGGCCCTGCATGTTTAAAACGGATATTTCGATTTTTGGAGCGACTTTACATGCAGCTTCAACATTTTCAAAATTATTTCAAAAATAGCTCCAAATTGTTTTGTGAATCTTTGTTCTCGGATAACGTATTGAACCCTGAAACAAATGACTCATATCGTTGAAATCCCAGTTTTTTTCGAAAATTGCAAAGTTTACATTGTATGCAACATTTTGACTAAAATCCAAGGTATGGTAAATTTGATCTGAACAGGTGAACATCTATACATTGTAAAGTGGTCTATGTGTCATTGTAGGTTGTATGTGCCTCATAATAAAAGTACCATTTTAGTATTGGTTGATGGTTTTAATGATAGTCAATTCTTAAGAAGTCTCGAGTCACATTGTGATTCGTACCATTGGTCACTTTAGTTCCAGGCTAGTCAACTACAATATTGAAGGTAGTGAGTTTTACTTTTTCGTACTTACTAACGTAAGAAGAAAAGGTATTGTTATCGTGCACGGGAAAACGGCCAATTTTCGACACAAAAATTATTTTTGCCGAGTCCTGGTAAGGAAAACGTGGATAAACCCAGTTGCTAAATATAGAAAAAATCCTCTAACACGTAGTCTAGTCAGACTCCATGTTTTGTGGGTCCTTGATACCGAAAAATCGATTGACAGCAAAACGTCTCTGTCCGTCTGTTTGCACAACGCTAACGCATAAACCGTTCAGCCGTTTTTCTCCTAAATTGATATTCCCCAATCGTTCTAGGTGATGTCGCGGACCCTGGAATTTGAAACCGATATTTTAATGTTGGGCGCTAATTTACAAAAAGCCCCTGGATATTTTAAAAAAAAATGGCTTCAATTTTTTTTGATTAAATGTTGTTGTTGAATAGTGCAAAAGACGTTTAAGAGAATGGTGCAACTCTCATTTTCGTTGATATTCCTGATTTTTCAAAAAATTGAAAAATAATTAAAACTTGAAAATTGATGATATAGATTTTTGTCTCAGACTCTGTTGTACAAAACCACCTCTTCAAGGAAGGTCATGTACAATTTTTTGAAAAAGCAAATAGTTTTTGCGTATTTTCCGACTGAAATTTACAAAAAAATCACTCCATTTTTTTTCTTTAAAATTACTTTACTTATGTGTACTAAAAGACGAAAAAAAATATTGCGGAAGTCATATTTTCAGTATTGCTCTTTTTTTTAATAAAAAAATTAAAATACAAAGTTGAGAGATGTTTGGCTCAGACTTCAAGTTTTTGAAGAAACGGGCAGTTTTTGCGTATATTGCAATTGAAACTTGCAAAAAATAATTATCAAAAACCCCTTCAATTTTTTCCTTTAAATTTTATCCACATATGTGGTAAGGACCGGCAATAAATATGGGTCTTGTCTCATTTTCGGGTATTGCTTTTGCAAAATTGCAAAAGTTAATTCAAAACTACGAAATTGAAGATCGATATTTTTGCTTCAGACAAAATCTGTTGCACAAAATTAGCTCTTCAAAAAAGGTCATGAACAAATTTTTGAAAAAAAAATGCGTTATTTGAAATATATACAGGTTTTACACCAACTATGGGCCATAGAAAAGTTTAATGAATATGAAATATAATTCATTTAATTTTAATTATAATTTCCTATTGAAAATGGCAATATTAATTATTTTTTCCTTTCTCGCACTTTCACTGTAGTTAATTCTACAATTGGATTCTCACAGCCCTACCAATAAACGTGGTGTAACATTTAATCTGTGCTTAAGCCCAGAATAGCAGGAGAATAGCGAAAACTCCTATAACTCGCGCAACTTTTCTTGAACGATGACCTTCATTCCCCTCCCTTGTGCAATAAACAGTTGAAGGCAAAAGCTCGCAGCTATGAAAGCTTGCTTTCATAGTGCAGAACACCTGTTCAGATTTATTGTCAATATCGAAAGAAATAGCTGAGTCAGGTTCAGGTCCTTCAAGGGAGTCAACTAAAACTCCCGCAAAAGTGAAGCACAAGATGCTGTTTTGACTTTCATAGACGTTGGAATTACTTAAAATATTCTAGTGGCCGACTTTGTAACTAATACCCCCACTCCACCCGAAATCGTCAATCCATCTTACAAGAAAGGTTGCTCGAGTAATACCAATAAACATGGACTAACTCGAGCACGGAATAAGAGAGGTATAGTTTCCATGGCAACCGCTAAACACCGGAGACACGTAGTTTAAGTGTGGAATAACCTGGAAATAACCTAGAAATACGAAAACAGAGGCGAATAAGCACGAACTGTTTGTGCGTTTCGCTTCATTGTATTCCTAATTTTCAATTCGACTGTACTTTTTTTTCTTGTGTTTTCTGGAATATTTGGCAACCTAGTTTATTTCGTGAATCATTAATTTGTTCGAATTTTCTTGGACTTTTGGCATTAGAAACTTCAAAGTGATTTTGTTGGCGTTTCTTATTAGAAATTGAAGTTAAACAACATCGATGAAATGTTCAGACAGCCGAGGGAAAAAAGTAACCGGACACGTGTGAATCTTTTTGAAGGGTATTCGGCTGTATTTCGAAATAAAACTGAGTTTTCGCGGGATAGTGTTGCAGCTATTGGACATTTAAATTTTTAGGTAGTAAATTCTTCTGTATGTTCAAGAATACAGAAAATTTATTTTCATTGAGTGTTCTGAGAAAACTTTGTATTTTAAAATTAATTTCTATACTGCTAATTTCTTACCCGTTTGAAATCTAAATTTACTACTTTTTCTACAAAAAAAAAAAAAAAAATTACAAGAACTTGTCTTGTATTCTAGCTCTCTGCATCATCAACAATCTCTAGCAAAGCACAGTAACAGAAATTACCTTTAGGAAAAATATAAGAAAGGAGTGAATTGGTTTTCAATGTAAATAAAAAAAAAAAATTGTTATGCCAAATATAATTCTGCAGAACCTACTCTTCAACTTTACTTAAAGAATTATTTGTATCCAACTACATGTATATAATATTATTCTTTTAACCAACATTTTATAACTAAAAGTTACGTAGCAAATTTACATAAAAACAGTGAAAAAAACGTCACAAATATTGAGCCTTCCCCAGGTATCAGACTAAAAAATTGGTTCATTATGAACTCAAATTAATAGATTTGAAGTTCTAACAAATATTTTAGGACAATACCTGATTAATAAAAAAAATGTTGCCATACTGTTTTAAAGTGAATTTGTAGCCAATAGTTATGAACATGTCAGTATCAAAGTTGGTTATTAATAAAAAATATTCATGTAATTGAGTATTTGAATTCATCAACTACTGTCTTAAAATAGAAAAAAGAATCTTAATATTGGATATTTTAGCATGCTGTTTTAAGTTGATCCCTGCCTTTTAAATATATACTGTAGTAAGACAAGGCAAAACTATTTCCTTCAAGTGAAAGAATTTCAGTGATATATTTTTTATATTAAGTTTCAGATGGTAATGGTTCAAAAAATGAATGAATACAAAACAGATATTCCTGAGAAGATAAATCTTCTAATATGGGTCAGAAACTAATTTCATTCACTCGTTATTGTTTACACACATTTTCAATTAGTTGTATATTAAAAAAGAAAAATTAATTAATAATTAATATTAATTAATTTTTTTGATGAGCCAGGGAAAATTCAACTTGACATGGGCTTGCTTTGAACATTTCAACTTTTAATAATTCATATAAGTGGAATTAAATCAAATTGTAATAAATTCAATATATATTAGATCACAAGCAGTAAGATTGTTCAATTATTCAGCACAAAAATTAAATAATGTTCTATCCTTATATCAGAATTAAGTGTTCCTAATGGCATATGAGTAAAATGAATTGAAACTGCAGTTTTTAATGGTTAAGTTGAATGGATGATTTTTTCTTCTCTAACAATTATTGTTCAACAATCATATAAACATTCTCCAATCAAGTTAGAATAAACTTCTTTTTTTATTATATTTATTTGTATTTAAACTTTGTTTACAATAATTATATATGGCAAGCTGCCGGCATATAATTTGAAGATAAATAATATTACCCATAATTTAAAAGAATAAAATAAAGAACTATATTTGAATAAATACCATTCTGTTTAAAAAGAAA